TAGATCCCTAAAAGGATTGTTCACCCCCCCCCATTACTTCTTATGTCTTGTTTGAGTTGCTTTCTATCTGTATACTTACCTCTCGGATATTGTGACAACTGGGTGGCAGTGTTGGCTATCCTTGAAAAGACCTAAAGCTGTGTATGGTCGGTGCATTGATGGCAGTGGTTTTTGATATAATTCCAGAATGTAATCTGTATCGGGAACACAAAATGACATTCTTTGCACCAGTTGTAGAAGCAAAATGAGAGCGGAAGGAAGGAAGATGTAAAGTCATCTGAGCACTCTGCCTATGTATGCACATCTCTTGGAATTTCTGTTCTTCGTTTTTTAAAAAAGCTTGTCTTCAAGGAACATGTGATATTTTACTGTCATTTTTTTCCGCTTTCCAGTTCAACTGTGAACTTGGATGTAGCCACCCGTGCAATTTGGAGACCAGATTTAACCAGCTGTTGTAGATTTTGGTATAACAGAAAACTCTAGAGATTACGATGAATATGTTCAGGCTATAACAAATGTAAAAAGTAATTTGTTTCAGTTCCTTATAGGATTATCAGTCCCTAGAATCTTGTTATTGGATGATCGCCCTACTTTCCCCCTCTCCATTTCAGGGAATTTTTACAGGCATTAGTAGCTTTTCAGGATGTAGTAGAGATACTATAGTAGTTCTGCTCCTCAGGCTTAATTTCGTAAATAAAAGTTAGCCCTTTATCCATTGTGTGGTTAGATATGTTTACCTCTACTGGGACAGAAGTGTTGTGTATATACTATTCTGAAGGAGTCCAAAGATTTCACTAAGGATATTTAGAAATTGCCAAGTGTAGTTCTAGGTGACACAACTATGGCATGGTCGGAACTATATGCTATTAATATCTTATCGAAAAGTCACCCCATGTATTCAATTCAGCTCCAACTGAGCAGGAATTACTAAATTATATAATGCATTGGTTAACTCACATTCACCAAGTGGCCAGTAGTACTGATGGTTAGTTTTTGTCCTTCATAAGTCACACAGAGAGGTGAATGTTGTCATCTTATTATATCACTAGGCACCATTTTTAAGGTGTTTCTCAAACTGCAGTATTCATAAAGAGAAGTCTGAATATGTCCTAAGGGGTTCTGTCCTCTGTTCCAGGATTGCAATTCTCTTTCCAAACTATGAAGGACAGAAAATGATAGACAGCCTCAATTTCAAATACAAATCGTGCTTCTAGACATTTTAAATGGCTGTTTGCTAGAGGAAATTGAACAGATTATGTCTCTTCCCAACAAGTTACTGTGGGTTAGGACTAGCATATTTCAAGATCACATGGTCTCAGTGGAAGGTTTTGTTCACAAAAGAACAGTGACATTTTTCCTTTTTCTAAGATAAGCCAGTGCTTCACAAGCAGAGATAAACAGTAGTTTAATCCTCTCTTAGAATCTTTGTCTTCTCCTACTGACCACTTCTTATCGCTGCTTTAAAACAGCTGCTTGAATTTGTGTACAAAAAAAAAAAAATCTTTTCAACTTTCACGTTTATACTACTAAGATAAATCTAAGCAAATGTACTGAGGCCAGGGAAATGAAATTTCTCCCTGAGGAGTTTAAGCTAAAAAGCATATGACTTGATTTTAGAGGTATTAAGCACCTCTGAAAAGCAAGCGGCCCATTTGTCACTGCTATCCCGATCTCCTACTTGAATTAAGGAGTAAGGTCATGTGTTATCGTAGCATATCTGTGTCCTTAAACACTAAGTTATTATCAAAATGTAATATTCTGAAGCAGAAAGACTATCAAAGATTATTTGTATTTCCTAGGGAAAGCTACTAGGCTACAATGAAAGTATCAGAAAAGTAAATCTGAATTTCATCATTATGAGCAGGTTTCCTTTATTAGTATTGAGAAATTTTATAACTCCATGTTATGTATAATCCAAAGCTATAAAATTCCCTAGAAGTTTTGTTAGTGGTGTTTGCAAGAGCATAGGTAAGAACCATGTTTCCTACAAAAAAAATCCAGAAATGCAGGAAACTCTTAATTAAAAGAGAAGCTCTACCCTAATGATCCAGCCTGTTGTATTATAGTGAGAATGAAAGGAAGGAATTAAAAAATGAAAGGATTCAGACTAAGGTCAGGAAATCCAAACTGCTGCCTTAATTTTGAAAATTCTTGTGGGGTTTTTTGTTGGTTAAAAATATTCCTATAACTTTGTTTATTACAAATGAATTCCCTTATATTTAAGGTAATATAATATTTCTGAAGGCTTCCAAATAGATCACTAGTACCTTGGGTATATGTTAACTTGGAAGCTTTTCAAACGTCTAATACAGGGGTCGGCAACCTTTCAGAAGTGGTGTGCCAAGTCTTCATTTATTCACTCTAATTTAAGGTTTCGTGTGCCAGTAATACATTTTAATGTTTTTAGAAGGTCTCTTTCTATCAAGTCTATAATATATAATTAAACTATTGTTGTATGTAAAGTAAATAAGGTTTTTAAAATGTTTAAGAAGCTTCATTTAAAATTAAATTAAAATGCAGAGCCCCCAGACCAGTGGCCAGGACCCGGGCAGTGTGAGTGCCACGGAAAATCAGTTCGTGTGCCGCCTTCGGCACGTGTGCCATAGGTTGCCTACCCCTGGTCTAATAGCTTGTCATTTAGATGAATATATTTGAATACAGTAAGAAGGATTCTTAAATCTAGACACACAGAGCCAGTTTTAACAGAATACTTTGGCAATTTATTTTGTAAAAATAAAAAATTTGAAGTCCCACAAATTGCCTGCAAAATTTTATTTGACGAGACTTAATTAATTTTTCCAATTAGGTCTGCTCAAAAATGAATCTAAAGCTGCTACTTTTGGTTTTATTTTATGTAGCATATAATTAAAAACAATCTATATGCATTATTTTCAAATATTGGTTAAAAGAAAAATCCCTATGCTATTTAGCTGAGGCTTTATTTTCTAATAATAAAGCCAAATGAATTTTATGGCAGAGTTACAAAGCTTTGGACAGAGAAAATTAATAGACTGAAATAAACTCTGCCAGTGTCAAATGGAAGTATTGAGTGTAAAGAATTACTGGAAATTCAGGAATCATAGTTCACAACTTGATCCAAACATGTATGAAAATTGGCTATGAAGGACGTGTTAAGTAATAGCCTGTACTTTCACCCGAGACTGTTAACCATGAACCCGTGCATAAAAACCTCTTCTTCAATGAATTCTTCATTGTATTGACTATCCTTCCTGTTAACTCAGTATTATTTTAGGAATTCAGCTCAAATGATTATTGCATCTGTGACTGAGTGAATAGCTTGATTTTAAGTCAATGGAATGGAGAAGGATGTCCTTTACCTTCCAGTGCAAGTTCCACAAAAGGATCTTGAGGTACCAGTTTGAGCACGAGGACCCGATAATCAAGAGTTACAGTCCTTGATAAAGAACGCTTACAGGAGAAATACTGCAGGCTGAATTCTGTGGTAAACCGAACAGGATATAGTCTTGTGGTTCTGCACTGAAAAAAAGACCCGCAGTGTTCTCCATACTTTGACTTGTTCGTAGTCTGTTACATTCACTTTTCAGTGACTCTTCTTGTGAGATCTGTTGGCTTTATGAAAAACCACCATTAATTTCCCCAGATACCAGTCAAAACTCAATTCAATTTAGATTAAACAAAAGTAGCATTTATTAGAATTTTTACAGAAAGTAGAATAGGTGAAATAAAATGTATGCAGGTAAAATGGAATCTGTAGTGAGACCGTACAAGCCAGCACAATAAATGTAAGGTATATAGGGAAGATATTGCCTCAGAGTGATATTCCATCGTTTAAAATAACATATTCCCATAGAGACATTAGGGCCAAATTCATTGGTGATGTAAATTGTTGCAGTTCCACTGATTTCAATAGAGCTGTGTTCACTGATACCTGAACTTGGCCTTGAGTTCAGGCTACAAAAAGAAAATTCTTCTGCACTTATAATTTGTCACATTTATATTAAAGGATAATACAATATACCTCCTCCTTTCAGTGAAACTTCTCTTGAGAACAGGGACATTCAGAAATTACTATTTCCTCCTTTTCTGGTATCAGAAACATAGGTGATAGGACGTAGTCTATGAAGCAATCTATGGGCATGTCTATGCTGCCCTGCAGTTTGGACTACAGGGGTCTGAATTGCAGCATGCACCAAAGTGCTGCACTGTAACTCCCCTGTGTGGAAGCTGCAGACATGAATGTAAACTCTCAGACAGGACTACCTTAGTGTGAACTAGCGACTTTTAAGTTTGCACCTGAAACATCCATTCAGGGGCATTACAGCGCATCCCTTTTGTACTCACTGCAGTTCGTACCCTGTAGTCCAAACTGCACAGCAGTGTAGACATGAGTTCCCTTTTTTACACTGATCAGTGGTCACCTCAGTTGGGATATTGTTAAAATACTATATACACCAATTACATTCTTATTCTTTTAGATAAAAAGTTTTGCTTAATCAACTGGGTATAAAAAGTTCAGTTGATTTTCCCCCTCCCCTCCCCATGTTGCTAATGGTTTCAGTTAACCGCTTTCTGGAAGGGAGTTCTATCACCATTCAAATCAGCAGATCACATCTGTAGCTCCTTTGTTCAAGCAAAGCTCATGGGTTGAGAATATATTAGACACCCAGTTAAACGATCGTTAATACAGAACCCAACACTTGCAAACTTGGCTGCCCAAACTTCAGTACCTAAATCCATATTTAGTCACCTAAATGAAAACTGGAGATTTTCAGAGATGTTGAGCGCTTGCAATTCCCACTGAAGACAACAGAAGCTGGAGATTGCTCAGCACCTTAAAAAATTTGCCCCCTTTTATTTAAGAATCCAAATGTGGATTTACGTACATGATTTTAGGCACCTAAGTTGGAAAAGTTTTATCAAGTATTTATTAAATGTGCTTGAGTTTTTCACATAAACTTATTTTTAACATCACACATGGATGTACTGATTGCGCTAAGAGCTGCTTCCTCTCTTTGCAGGGACCTTTGTCGCCAGAATAAAGCATGTGACTATTACTTCAGCATAGATGCGGATGTTGTGCTGACAAACCCGAAGACTTTAAGACTTCTGATAGAGCAAAACAGGTTCAGTATATCTTTGTCTTACAGACTGAGGATCTTCATTTTTCCTAGTCTGGAAGTACTCTCCAGGATCCCCTTTTACTTGTCCCTTCTATGGCATTGCATTATTGTAAGAGAAGTTTGGCACAGTTCCCTCTGGAGCTTATCAGCATTCCACTCTACTTGAGGAAGCATCAGGTGATCATGTTACTGCAAACTGCTGCCAATAGACCACTAAGTCATTCCAATGGCAAACATTTTTAACTCTGTAATTAATCTTGGCTGCTTGTTTGTAAAAAACCTGCTTTAAAGGAATGCTGAGTTCTGGGGGGGAAATAATCAGACCTAATTATTTGGTTAATGGAAATGCTTTCTCACTTGAAAATGTTGAAGTGAAAAAGGTAGATGAACTGAGCATGCTCACTGGATTGGGCCCTGCAGGCCAGTTAGGTGGAGGAATCACTCTGGGGCTTAGGGGTCTGCATGCCCAGAGTGAGGATGCAGTGTGCATGTACAGAGGCAGAAACATGGGCACCTAGGCAACTTTTACTACAAAAAATGTAGGTGTCAAGCAAGTTTTGGCACCTATAAGGTTCAGCAGCAACTAGATGGGGGTTTTCTGAATCCCAATGGGCCTGATTCTGAAATTTAGGAATTTTAGGAAAGTCCTGTTGTGAATCTAGCCCATGTCGACCAGGAAGATATACTGATTATCACTCTTTATACTAAGCATGGCAGCTAATCGTTCGCAGAATGTTTTGCATAGAAGAATATGCACAAACAGCAATTCCCAATCTGAACATCCAAGAATCTAAATCATTCTGAAGACAGCTGTGTGGTGTCATTGCTTTCTGTTACAGGAAGCAGGATTTCCAAGACTGATTGATCAGAAATTGTATGATTCAAGCATTTAAAAAAAGCCCACTTGTTTCAGTCTTAGTATTTGGAGTTTTAAAAAAGAGATTTATTCTTGGAGATGATAGAACATCATTGTTTTTGCTCTTATGAGCTGTTTCTCATTGTTAAATAATTTCTCAAGATACAAGACAAACTAAACGTTGACATCTGATATTTATAGAAATAAAACTTGTTAGCTTTTTCCAGAAAAGATCCAATATTGACTACTATTCGCGGCTCATATTGGTTTTTTTCCTACTTTAGAGCCAACTCTTGCTTTACTCATGAAAATCCATGAATTCCCATGTGAGTAAAGTAGGCAGGATTTGGCCCTGAGTGGTAATGCCAGGCTTTTCAGGTGGGTCAGACAAAGAGGCAGAGTATTAATTTCATCAGCATATGTTGGAAACTTGTATTTACCTAATGACAAGGACTGAGTTGTAGATAAAGGCCTAGCTGGCATGTCATTTTGATTATATTATTTCTTTGCTGAAATCGCTTGTTTTTGTAAAAGAGAAGTTTAGGACCCAGTATACTGCAGACAGAAGTAGCACAAGTTTCACAAAACAGCCTACCTGGGACAGCACTTATAAAAGAAGTTCCATTTATTTTGCTACCATTTCTAGCCACCTCATATTTCCCTTCTCACCTCTGTTTTCAATGTCTGCTGAGTTATTTTTCTGTTTGGAATAATTTCCATAATCAAAGTCCTCGACTTTTGTATTGTTGTTGTTGCCTCTGCTACAAATCCTTAGCTAAGTTTAGTTAAAGGACGACCATTTGTGCTACTTCTGCCTGCAGAAAGAGGACAAGAGAGTATTTTCCTCTGCCTGAAAACTCCATGATTTATAGGGATCCTGGGCATGGCAGCTGAATTCCTGTCTGTTGCTCTCACCTTTGGGTGGGTGGAGGTTTGGAATCTGGCAGTTAATGGAAAATATTAGTCCCGTCAACTCAAGTGTAGAACGGCTGCTTCTGGATTTGATGATTTGATGGTCCTTCAATTCTGATGCTCTGTCAAAGTGCAGAAGTGAGAGGCGCCATCGATACCCAGCAGACGTTCACATGCAGCCTTACAACTGTTTTAATGCTAGCAGAATCAAAGTTCATGTTTATTTTCTTACTGAATATTTTGTTTTTACAGAAAGATAATTGCCCCACTTGTAACTCGCCATGGGAAGCTATGGTCCAACTTTTGGGGTGCTTTGAGCCCTGACGGCTATTATGCTCGCTCAGAAGATTATGTGGATATTGTCCAAGGGAACAGAGTGTAAGTTACCTTAAGATAATCACGAACACCAGATGTCATTGTTCAGTAGTTAGACATATTCTTTCCTTGCCCAGCAAATACCTATATTTTCCATGAAAAGAGAGAGAATTTCTGAACAGTTAATGTCGGTAACGTTGATGAATTTCTTCAATAATCTGGGATTACTTTCTGTTTCTGCAATCTGGAATAGAAAGGCACAGTGTCCAGCACAATGAGGTCCTAGGTACTATCCCAGCACACACATTTAATAAGTGATGGTCATCCGTACTGACTATGATTATGCTATGAAAATGAACTGTAATTAATTGCAAAAACTGAAGGAGTTATACTGTTAATCTGCCACTGTGAATTTGTGCCAAAAAATAATCTAGTGACACTTCATCAAATGTGTAACAAGTAAAGTGTTTTCCCATCTCTTCTGGACAAGCATAGTATTTAATCAGCAGCTGAAATTAAGATTAATAACCATTTTTGTTACAGCAATATTTGTTCCATTATATGCTGTCTGCTTTCCATCCTTAGCCCAGAAATATTAGACTAAAGTCCAAGCAGATGAAATACTTTCATTTCACATACAGTAACTTTTCCCCAAAATGAATGTACTTTAAACTACTTGAGGTCTGAGTCTCATGTGTGCCAATGCCCCTTTACTTGGCCCAGACAATTCAAAAAGGTCTTATTGGCCTGATACTCCTTTATGCTTATGTACTGATTTTATAGATCTGCCTCTGGGAAACAGAAAACGTAGAGAGTAGTGCATTGTCCTATGGAGAGGCCTATTTGTTGATATTGGCTCAACTGAATTAAACTTGTGGCCTGTTGCGTTCACTGGTATCAGTGTAAATAGGTCAGTTGGTCTATGAGAAGCTACGGTTGGGTGTTAGTTTAAACATAAAATCTGTTTAATAGTTTTCTCCATCTCACTGAGTAGCTTAATGCTATAATATAAAGGAATTTCGTTGATAGCCTTGACCTAGTCTGAAAAAGGACGTGTTTATATATTTAAAACCCACTTTAGAGAATTTGGTGGAATTACTTTCTTCATGATAAAAGCTCATAAAATTTGTATTACTGCTTATACTCCCTTCAAGTCCAGCTGTAGTTTTTCAGCTATCTTGGGAACCTTACATCATTGCCTTGAACTTTGTCTGGTCTTTTCAGTAAATAATAAACTCATGATGTTCAAATTGTAAAATATGCAACACATTCCAGTTTTCATAGTCTTAAATCTTTCCCCCTGGACTTCTTTTACAGAGGAGTCTGGAATATCCCTTATATGGCTAATATATACTTAATTAAAGGACAGACTCTCAGATCAGAGATGAGAGAGAGAAACTATTTTGTTCGTGATAAGTTGGATCCTGATATGGCACTCTGCAGGAATGCCAGGGAAATGGTAAGGTGGATGGATGGATGGCTTGCTTTTAAATAGCACATGCAGGGTTTTTTTTAACATGCTTGCTACATGTGTATGTATGTAAGATTGAATTGTGTTCACTTCTTTCTAATTAAAAGTACTAGCCAATTTTTGGTGGGATACTGGCATTTTTTGCGATGTGTGTTTTTTTTTTTTTTTTTAATAATTGAAAAGAATACAGTGGAAGCATTCGGCTTTGCTCAAGACCAGTGGACTGGTGCACTAACAGCACATTGCTTTCTATTTAAATACAGTTAAAATTCATAGGTACTGCAAATTACCTTGCTTGTTGCCACAATTGTTTAACATGAAGGAGGACTCAGTGGCCGCCTTGTTAATATATCCGCTATCATTGAGTATCTCCATTTGTCTTGAAATGTCTTTAATTAATCTACATAATTTGGAACTTATAACAAGTTAGGTGGAACACTTTGTTTTGTATTTAAATGAGAATACTTAAAGTTGATGATTGAAGCTGTCAATATACAAATCTTATTTTAAGCCGTTTTCAGAATGGTGATACTCTTATTAAAGGGTGTTATACTATTTAGTGCTATTTGTATTATGCTGTCGGTAATATGAAGACTGATTTATATTAGGAGTATAAATATGCAAAACCATATTTGTACTGATATTTACACTAGTTTCAGAACAGAAACAAATAAGAGGTAAACTACAGCTATTTCCAGACAGTATAGCATTGAAAAAAAACTTGCTGAATTGAACAAGAAAAGTTGGCAAGTATAATTTTCTTTTATTCCCTCCATAACAAGGCATGATTTCATTTGTTTGTACTCATTCTACAGAACAGCCCAATCAACATACTCTTGTTTTCAACCTTCTAAGCAGCAGTTATTGCAATCTGTGCTTACCATGTGCTCGTGTTAAACTAATCTGACTCTGTGGCTCATCAGAGAATTGCCTTCTCTCTTTCTCTTTCTCAACCTGTGCTATGAGACCGTCTGGTACGTGCTTGTTTTTGTATTGCAGCAGATAAGAAGGGGCTGGTGGATACAGCTTTAACATGTACATAGGAGCTTTGCTTGGAGATGCATGCTGCCCGTAAAAGCTATTTTGGAATATCAGCTTTTGACTGAAGGCTGTTATTTATCTAATGTAACTGTGGAAACCTAAAACCTAATACATCTCTGACAGAGAGAGAGACCATGTATCGGTCAACTGATGTGATGCTTCTCCTTCATTTTAGAGTTTACAAAGGGAAAAAGGCTCCCCTTCTTCGGAAACATTCCATATGCTCAGACCCCCAAAGGTGTTGCTTTTTTTTATTCATTAGTTGTTACTATTATGCAGTATCATTCTATCACAGGAAAATCCTTCCCCTCTCTCCACTTACCTTGTAAAATGTTGCTATACCTTTCTCTTTAGTCTTAAGTTACATTTTCAAAAGCAACTGCTAATGTTGGGTGCCCAATCAAGACATCTTAAGGAGCCTTGATTTTTCACAGTGAGGGCTCTTAATGCTCTGAAAATCAGGTTCCTTTTAAGATGTCTGAATTTGGGCACCCAAAAATCAAGACAACCAATATCACTAGTCATTTTTTGAGGATTTAGGCCATTACAGCTTAATTATTGGCATTATTGGTGCAATAAAATTGGTTAAACAATTCAAAATCTCTCTGAATACTACTCAAAATCACAAAAAAAGATAAAGTGCAAAGTTTCTCTGGCCTGTCTAGCCTGTCTTATTTGTAAAGTCTTTGCTCAGTTTTGCTATAGCTTGTGTTTGTGCGGTCATTGGGCAAAATGCTGCAGTGCTTACTCCCATGAATAGTTCTATTGCTAGCCCCACATGTGAGAAGGGCTGCAGAACTGGTTTCAACGTGTCCATTACATCAAGGTCATGTTTCAGGAAAAGAAAGCAAGCACATGTTACACTAGTGTGTTACAATCACATGGGTGGTGGGCGCACTTAAAAAGTTCCTTCTGGTTCTAGAGATACTAGCAGTATTTCCTCATTTCAAAAATACAGAATCATTCTAAAGCCAGAATAAACTTGTTTACCCCCTCAAAGGGCTTGATTGACATTTGTGTTTCTCCATATTTGTGCTGATGTAACTCTATTGAAATTAGAGTTACACCGAATAAAACTGGAGCAACAACATGGTGAATCAGGCCCTGGGTATATTGTAGGAAAGTGTTGTGATAAGCATTGGTTAGCCACTTTTGCCAGACCCTCCTTATTTTCCCTGCTGCGGCTATTTAGTGTGTTAAGAGCCAAGAACTGAGCACATGTTTAGCACGTTTAACCATGCTGGCAATTTAACACTTTTTTCAGACCTAAAACTGAGGTCCAGATACAAGCAAACAAGTGGGAATGGCTCTGTGTTGTGCAAATCTCAAATGGGGAAAACTTTGTAAAATGTGGGTTGGGTCTGAAAAACAGTTAAACTAAAAGAAAACCCAATTTCTTTTAAACAAAAATATTTTCTGCTACTAATTCTGATCAAGGGAGCCCTGTTAATATCCTAGCTTTTAGTTATGAAGCAATATAGCAGCACATTTAATTTTTGGTCTTTATCTCACTGAGAGATTCCTTATTCCTCATCATAATTCTAACATGCATTGTATTTTCAAATATATTTTTATTTCAGGTCAATTCACCAAAAGGATTATTTAATAGTAAATGTTCTGAAGCAGTGCAGAACTTACATGTTTGGTGTTCTGACAGTACTTAAACTTTTTTTTCTAATGGTTCATTTATTTCAGATAGAATCCCCAGCCCCAGACTTTGTTGTCAGTTTAATTTGTATGAGAGAGTTCTGTTTGAAAACAGGTATTTCAAGAGGGTTGAACATTTTAATATATGGTCTTTCTAGGCTTACTGAAGAAAAAAACAAAAAATATTAAATTTGTTTTTCTTTTTCCAACTGAATGTTTGCACCATTACAAAACATTTGTTGCCTTAATTTGATTAGAAAACAAATGATACCAAATGTGTCATTTTTAATGTGGCTCATAGTAAAAATACATGTTTAGGAATCAGTAATACAGGCTGTGATCAGAAACAGTCCCGTGAAAGTTTAAAGATTTCCTTAAAAAACAAATCCAGAGGTAGTTAAAACGTGTGTGTGTGTGTGTGTGTGTGTGTGTGTGTGTGATAAATACATAGATAAAACATAAATTATATATACCATATTTTAGCTACGTGTCTGTGTTTTGGGGAGATATATACACACACAGACACAAAACAGACACGTAGCTGAAATATACGTAGCTATATAAAATTTTAAAGGCCGAATATCATCCTTACTGTTAGTGTTGCTAACATAATTTTTCTTCTTTGTTTGATACAGGGTGTCTTTATGTACATTACCAACAGACATGACTTTGGGAGACTTATTTCAACTGCCAACTACAATACCTCCCACTACAACAATGATCTCTGGCAGATTTTTGAAAATCCTGTGGTATATATCACATTATGCATGAAACTGTTAAACAGGTTTTATAATTTTCCATATGGTCATATAATGATTTCTAACTTGTTATGGTTAATATATATTGGAAAATATTAAAATATACTAAGAGGCGCACACATCATAATAAATTCAGTGTCAGCATTTTATATAAAATATGGCTCATAATCTGGAAAAAGAAATGCATGCCTAAGTCAAAAATGGGCCTATAAATCCCAAAATGTTTCCTGAGATAATAGAATCAAGAGTTAATTTACAGAGAGCATAACATATTTAATTGTTTCTAATTATTTGAATGAAAGAAATTAAAGGAATTTGCAGAGTAGTAAAATTCATTTTTAATTTCTATATTTTTTGTTGTACATTTTAAAAAATGAAACAAATGAGCTGTTTAATCTGTTCAAATCATTCTTTTCAGGACTGGAAGGAAACCTATATAAATCCCAACTACTCAAAGATCTTCACTGAAAATCTAGTGGAACAGGTTAGTATTAATACTATTAAAATGAGAGAGACACAAACAAATGTTTATCTAAGTTTTTGCTTCAGTGAGCTGGCATAGAATAAATGCTTCAACTGTCATATCACATTGAGCTGTAATGGTGTTAGATCTCCGCGTTTATATGCACCTAAAACAAAATGGAAGTGAGCACCTCACAAAATTAGAGATTTTGAGGAATGGCCACAGAACTGAATGTTGCATTGTGGAACTTTCTCTACTGCTAAGCTTCAGAAGGTTCATCCTTTTCAATAGTTGGATGGGAGATGTCCAAGGAAAACTGAGGTGCATCAAGAAGTGGTCAGAATTCATTAGGTAGGAGGCACTCCTTCCTCTGAGTGGCTACTGAGTCAGTACCCACATGATGCTAAGTGCTGTTGGAAGGACTGTTTTCTGAGTGAGACTTGCAACTGATGTGAAGAGCACTTGAGATCAAGAGAGATTCCCATGGAACTTTCTGCAAGAGGAAGAGTGTCAATCCCAGTGTTCTGATGAAATTTCACTTTCTGTTCCACCCCTTTATTTAAATTCCCCCAGTTGTTTCAATTGGAAAATGTATTCTTTATTCCCTTTTTTGTAACAAATAGATCCCACTGTGCAGTGATTTTAGTGCCAAATGCTTAGCATTTGCATCTCAGAATTGTTTGATCCTTGTATTTAGTCTGCTTAAAAAAACAAAACAGAAACCCTGTAGATTTCTTAGGGCTGTATAAATGTCAAGTTGTTTCACATGCACTTGTAGTGACCTTATACACATTATTTTTAAAATAAAGATTACTTTACCAGACAACAGTGAAAATGTCCAAGTAGCTTCTATGGTGGCAGAACTGATTATGATGTACACTTTGTCTTTTATTTCCTGAGAAGTTGACACTAATCACTAGGTTGGTGCTGGAGATGAAATCTTGGCCCTATTGATGTCAATAGCAAAACTCCCATTAATTTCAGTGAGGCCAGGATTTTACCATAGAAGTTGATAATGGGCAATGTTTGGGTTGATTTTCTGCATTGCAGATGTTTGGCACATGGAGTTCTATTTAATGACTATGTGTCAGAGGGTTTTTATGAGTGCATGGGTAGATAGGGCGGGCTTTTCAAAAGTCCTCAGCATTGGCCTAGCTCTAGACTAATTGAAGTCCAGTGGGAGTTAGTACTGAGTGCTTTCGACAAGTCCACCCTCAATATACACTTGCAAATTGTAAAGAGCTAGCAGTGCCATGCCTAGCTATTTTGGTGCCCTACACAGCCCCCCTGTGGGGGCCCGGCCACTTCCTGTGGGAAGTGGAGTGACCCTGCCCCCTGCCTGCTCTGCTCCCCTGATCAGAGGCTGAAATAGAGAAAGAACAAATTAAAAATTACTTAGACAAGTTAAATGGCTTCAGGTCACCAGGGCCTGATGAAATACATCCTAGAATACTCAATATCATTGAGAAGATATCTGAGCCATTAGCAGTTATCGTCAAAAAGTCATGGAAGATGGGAGAGATTCCAGAGGACTGGAAAATGGCACTGTATTTGCCCCATCTATAAAAGAGAAATAAGGACAACCCGGGGAATTACAGACCAGCCAGCTTAACTTTAGTACCTGGAAAGATAATGGAGCAAATAATTAAGCAATCAATTTGCAAACACCCAGAAGATAATAAGCTGGTAAATTACAGTCAGCATGGATTTGTCAAGAACAAATCCTGTCAAACTAACCTAATAGCTTTCTTTGACAGGGTAACAAGCCTTCTGAGTAGAGGGAAGCAGTAGATGTGGTATATCTTGACTTTAGTAAGGCTTTTGGTATGGTCTCGCATGACCTTCTCCTAAACAAACTAGGTAAATACAACCTGGATGGCGTTATAAGGTGGGTGCATAACTGGTTGGAAAACCGTTCTCAGAGAGTAGTTATCCATGGTGGACAGTCAAGATGGAAAGGCATATCAAGTGGAGTCCCGCAGGGATCAGTTCTGGGTCTGGTTCAGTTCAATATCTTTATCAATGATTTAGATAATGGCAGAGAGAATACACTTGTAAAGTTTTTCATATGATACCAAGCGGGGGGGTGGGGTGAGGTGAGGGGTTGCAAGTGCTTTGGAGGACAGGATTAAACTTCAAAATGATCTGGACAAACTGGAGAAATGGTGTGAAGTAAATAGGATGAAATTCAATAAGGGCAAATGCAAAGTAGCTCCACTTAGGAAGGAACAATCAATTCCATACACATAAAACAGGAAATGACTGCCTAGAAAGGAGTACTGCAGAAAAGGATCTAGGGGGTTATAGTGGATCACAGGCTAAATATGAGTCAACAGTGTAACACTGTTGCATTTTTGTTTTGTTTGTTTTTGCAAACATCATTGTGGGATGTATAATCCAGGAGTGTTGTAGGCAAGTCACAAGAAGTATATTAGCCAGGATGGGTAAGGAATGGTGTCCCTAGCCTCTGTTTGCCAGAGGGTGGAGATGGATGGCAGGAGAGAGATCATTTGATCATTACCTGTTAGGTTCACTCCCTCTGGGGCACCTGGCATTGGCCACTGTCAGTAGACAGGATACTGGGCTGGATGGACCTTTCGTCTGACCCAGTATGACTGTTCTTATGTTCTTTTATAGCCATGCCCCGATGTGTATTGGTTTCCCATATTTTCGGAGACTGCCTGTGATGAACTGGTAGAGGAAATGGAACATTATGGACAATGGTCTGGAGGAAAACATCGTGTAAGTGTCATCTCTTGTAAACAAAATTGATACTTGTTTTCTAGCAGGCCTTCATGTACTTTAATGTTTTAAATAAATGCCTCATTAGAAAGTGCACTGGAAGGCGTAGTCTGCAACTACTGAAAACTTAGTTAAAAATGATACTTTTATTGCCTTTGTTTTAATTCTGTATGTCTGCAGTTTTCAAATAAATTAAAACCTGTATTATATAAGTACTGAAAAAACCCACATTTTGAGGCCCTTCTGGTTTTTAGGATAGTCGTATATCTGGAGGTTATGAAAATGTCCCAACTGATGATATTCACATGAAGCAAATCGGGCTGGATGGTGAATGGCTACATTTCATTAGAGAGTTCATTGCACCAGTAACACTAAAAGTCTTTGCTGGCTATTATACAAAGGTAAACTTTTAAAATTATTATTGGTGAATAGTTGAGCTGAGTGGTTAATTTGCAGGGAATGATTTATTAGATTAATCCCAGAATCTTCTTGCTCATGGAATATTTTAGAGGAGGCTACACTTTTCTCAGTTTTATTTATTATATATTTTTAAAAATGTGTTACTTTGTGTGTTGATTGAAAGTATTTCAGACTTGAGCTGTGTTGCTTCAGTTGTGATGGGTAAGATAAATCCTATGTTGTTGTAACTGTTTCGGACTTGAAGCACAAACATTTGCCAGTGAGTAGTTTTTAAAATTCAGCTCCCGTGAATAAGCACATATTTGATTTTGAAATTCGCACACTGATGAGAAATCCTTTGGATTACTACACATTTATTTCAGGGACATGCCATGCTGAATTTTGTCGTAAAATACACTACAGACAGACAGCGTTCCCTCAGACCTCATCATGACTCCTCTACGTTTACCATCAACATTGCTCTCAACAAAGTAGGAAGAGATTTTCAGGTACGTAATAGCCATTTCACTAAATATTGCTGCTCTTCAATTTATCTAAATCATTTCCATGCTTGGGTCCAAATAGACATGGTTAGGACCCTGTGTAAGAGGAAAAGACATGCAGCACACATAGCAATGTGTTGCTGAGATAAACCGTTTGCTGCTGCCCTATTAATTGATGTCAGTGGAACAACCCGTGGAGGATGGTGGTAATCAACTTAATGGTGGTAGAATCTGGCCTGGATCATATTAACTCATCCACAAGTAGAACAACTTGTTCTGTTTTGCCCACCTGTGCACTGCCCACCATGCAGTGTATTCTCCATTCCTATACTAAATTATTTAGATTATTTTCAAAACTGATACCTTGGGGAATGATGCTTCGGCTCTAGACCCCGATAAAGGAAAGCACTTGATCATGGGCTAACATGCTGTCCTAAAGAGAGCAGCTGTCCTGAATCAAAGCCTAGAAAAGATGATTAGCTAGTCTTTCATCTGCAGTAATGTTACTGAATGGCTGATTGGTTGGAAACAAATATACCACTAAGACTGTTCAAAGGAGCTGCTCTGCAGTGTTTACCAAAATAAAAGGGACTGAAATCCCTACTACCATGTGGTGTTGCCACATGTACTGCTGCAAAGGAAACATTACTTAAGAAGTACGCCTTACTAGTATGGATAAAGAACTTCTGATGTTAAGTATCTGTTTTTAACAATAAAACATTCTGATTGCTGGACAAAAGGAAAAGCTCTTGTTTGTAAATGCAATTATAACCCAAACTAAGACATCTGTCTTCTGATTTTTGCAACAGGGAGGTGGATGTAAATTTATTAGGTACAACTGTTCCATTGAGTCACCCAGGAAAGGATGGAGCTTCATGCATCCAGGAAGACTCACTCATTTACACGAAGGACTTCCCATTTTAAATGGAACAAGATACATTGCAGTATCGTTTATCGATCCCTAACTTTATTTTCCTGCTTCTTCAAAACCAGTGGCTGGTTCTTTGACATAAACTCTTATTTATACTTTTCCTCCCAGAAGATGGTGATAAAAGAAACTTTAAATTACTTCCTCTAGACAGCAGCTTTACTTTGAGCTAAGAGATTGAAAAAACAACTTTAAAAAATGTTCGACACTTCCAAATGTCTGCTCTGAACCTTAAGTCAAAGTAAAAATGTTCTTATTTTTGTACTCTGCTGTCTTGAAGGGTGGCGTGGGGAGGGAAAATAGAAATGCATTTTAAAATGAATCATTTTTTTTCTGTTATGAAAAATTCCTAGATACAAAATTATCTCCAAATCTTGTGGTTTTTATTCAGTAAAATTATGCAGATAAAGTTGTGTGTTGTGCATATTTTATAACTACCAATAGAAGAACCACACCTAGAATTAGCATCAAGTGACTTCCATAGCCTAGCAGAATTGCACACAAATTTTGGCTTTAAGCAAAAGCATATTTTGTGTGCTGATGTGCACTTCAGCAACACCCCAGTAAAACTTTTTAAAAATGTTTAGTTTATATTAAATATCAACATCTATATCCTCATAAAGAAAATATGCATTGCAGAGTTTGAGGAATAGATTGAAGAAGTTTGATTTAAAAAAAAAAAAAAAAAAGGTTTTATCAAGAACTACAAGTATGTGTTTTAAAGAAGAACTTTTCCCATTAAGGTTACTTCTCTTTACCAAGTGTTCTTCAATTAAAATGAGCTATTTTTGTAATGTATAGTTGCACCAGGTTGATACTGGAAATTAAATCCTATTTTCAGAACACTGGTAAATTTTAATATCAGGATGTTTTGTAAACACAATTTTCTGTTATTTAAAATTACTTGAATTTTGTATCAGGAAAATGAAATTGGTGAAGTCTTTCTTTTAAACCTAAGAGGTTTGACTTACCATTTATTTTAAAGGAATCAGTTTTAAATATTTCTACTGTATCTACTGTTTGTAATTTAAAGAAACTTGAAGCAAACGCTAAACCAAGGAACCTAAGGTGCCAGAATGAACATATTTAAAAACTTGTGAAAAATAAAAGGTAATTTAAAAGTAATGTAACAGTTTTTATTGTTTGTCTTAGTGAAGATGGCAATATATCCCAAACTGTTATCTTTAAAATGTAGTGCATTTAACAATTTTAAAAGGAACAATTGTGTATCATGGTGAGCATGATCAAATTTATGTTGGCAAAAATTTTTTTTTAAATATTCTGAGTAGTCACCGCTAGCTACCTGTTGCTATTGAATAATGTCTGTCATTAATTGGCGTCTCAATCATTATCAAGGTGGGCAAAGTTTTAAGAGCCTCAGCAGCAGCGTGTGTGTTTGCTGCCTGTTCTAATAATCCTTTTTGGCAAGCAGAGTATTGTGGTGATCGAAGCAGCAACCTTTCCCCCACTATACTGACTGATGCTGTATTGAAGAGAATTCACTACCAGTACTGTATGTTGGTCTGAGTGGTTTTAAGACGAGTTTATTTTTTTCTGAGTTGTCGTTTCCCATATTTATATTCTTAATTTTTCTTCATTTCAAGCAGATGCTTACAGATTTCAGAAATGCACCAGCACATTGAGTTTCTTGACATGAATAAATTCCAATTTTGCAGATACCTTTGCCTGAGTAAGCTGCTTTGACTGGGTGTAGACTGCACTTAGGCAAATGATAAAATTCAGAAAATCTTCAGGACTCTACGGGCATGAAAGCTGCCTTTGTTAACCACCTTTTTTCTGTGTTTGCCTATGGTCTGCTAGGATGGCATGGAAAACAGACTGGGTCAGTTTAACATAGGTAAGTGTAATAAAGCTTTCTTTATAAAGAGAGACTTGAAAACAGGACAAGGGATGAGATTTTTGGAGATCATTCTGCATAATTTTTGCTTCTACATTCTAGATTTTGTGTTTCACTGATTTACTCTGTTTTGATTATTTGTTTGAAGACTTGGATTATTAAACTTCTAGATTTTCATTCGTTTACTCTTTCAGCTGTGAGCTCTTTCAATGAGCTAGACACATTTACCTCGTTCAGACTCGCATTACTAGAGTCCTTACCTTATTAACCAACCATAGGGGTTACTAAATCTCTTTCAGGCTCAGAGGAATGTTACAATGTTGAGACAGAGCACTCATTCACTTCTCCGCATTGACCAAATATTGGAAGAATAGGCAAATTCCAATGGGTATTAAAATCTAAAATGCACAAATATTTGGTCTTAACAGTGAATTTAGATATGTTTTGTTAGCTTTAATGTATTGTTAGTAAACTAGCTCATTTGAGTTGAATTTTCACCAATAATACTGTAAAGCAAACCTTGAGAGAGATGTCTGACCCTCCTAATACCAGACTACAGAACTGAGACACAAGATAAGTAACTTGGAGAAAATGCAGCCTAACCTCTGGCAGTATTCATAAGACACTAGGAGTACAAGGACATAAAGGTGGACTCTTTAACTGCAGTAGATGAGACATTTGCAGATTATCTGATTGGTGTTGCCTACGTTCAAGCCTAGTTCTTCACTAATAAACCAGACATGAATTCTAGATTCAGTGGTAGGAGTTATGGGAGAGAGGGCAATTTGTAATTACTTTTTAACAAAATGACAAGTCTGAGTATGTTTCATCCACTTCACTGGTGTGGGGGCCACTGTGACCCTCCAGCACTACTTGTGGACCAAGTACTGGATAACACTCAGTATATCAATTGACTTTTGTAACAAAACAAAAAACATATGTAGCCCTCATTAAAGCCACAAGCTATTGTAGCATAGGCTTGTCACTCACTTCATTTTCTTCTGTTGCTGCCATGAGTTGACAGGAATAAGAGCTAAACACAAAGGGAAATTATTTTCAATAATGTGGAAGCGCTGATCTCATCTCAAGTGTGAATTTTTAGCTCCCCCCTGTTTTATTTCATAGATGGAATATATGTTAATCAAAAGCAGGTCTTATAGAAATAAATAAAATAAAGAGGCAAAGAAATGAAAAGGATGCAGAAGTTTGGGAAGGACTCTGCCAAACCCCCTCCAAAACCACATTCAGCTGGAAATTTATTTTCATCTGTGCAAGTAAAGTTTGTATGAATTCTTTTCAGCCAGAGCAACATACTTATTTTATTCTTTTATCTTTATCTCTGATATGCTCCAGCCTGTATCCAGATGCTGAGAAAGCAGTGGGTGGAGCACTCGGTTATGTCTTTCTGGGATGAAAGTAGTAGACTGCTTGTTTTTTAGATTCATAGATTCTAGGACTGGAAGGGACCTCGAGAGGTCATCGAGTCCAGTCCCCTGCCCGCATGGCAGGACCAAATACTGTCTAGACCATCCCTGATAGACATTTATCTAACCTACTCTTAAATATCTCCAGAGATGGAGATTCCACAACCTCCCTAGGCAATTTATTCCAGTGTTTAACCACCCTGACAGTTAGGAATTTTTTCCTAATGTCCAACCTAGACCTCCCTTGCTGCAGTTTAAGCCCATTACTTCTTGTTCTATCCTTAGAGGCTAAGGTGAACAAGTTTTCTCCCTCCTCCTTATGACACCCTTTTAGATACCTGAAAACTGCTATCATGTCCCCTCTCAGTCTTCTCTTTTCCAAACTAAACAAACCCAATTCTTTCAGCCTTCCTTCATAGGTCATGTTCTCAAGACCTTTAATCATTCTTGTTGCTCTTCTCTGGACCCTCTCCAATTTCTCCACATCTTTCTTGAAATGCAGTGCCCAGAACTGGACACAATACTCCAGCTGAGGCCTAACCAGAGCAGAGTAGAGCGGAAGAATGACTTCTCGTGTCTTGCTCACAACACACCTGTTAATACATCCCAGAATCACGTTTGCTTTTTTTGCAACAGCATCACACTGTTGACTCATATTTAGCTTGTGGTCCACTATAACCCCTAGATCCCTTTCTGCTGTGCTCCTTCCTAGACAGTCTCTTCCCATTCTGTATGTGTGATTTTTCCTTCCTAAGTGGAGCACTTTGCATTTGTCTTTGTTAAACTTCATCCTGTTTACCTCAGACCATTTCTCCAATTTGTCCAGATCACTTTGAATTATGACCCTGTCCTCCAAAGCAGTTGCAATCCCTCCCAGTTTGGTATCATCCACTAACTTAATAAGCGTACTTTCTATGCCAATATCTAAGTCATTAATGAAGATATTGTTAGCCTTATAAATGGCATGAATGGATTCACTCCTCTCCGGAGCCCTGTGAATGGTTAAGATATCAGCTGAGTGACTTGAAGGTTTTTCTGTTGATGTAGCAGAGCTCCAGACTGCAGCATTAGTAATCCCACTAGTTCTGAAATAATCATTTTCAGGCTGTCAGCAGTTGTCCTTAACTAAGGCAAAGGACATCTTGAGTCTGAGACTCAGGTGGTGTAAATTATTGTAGCTCCTCTGACTTTAATGGAAGTATAACACTTACATCAGGTTCCTGGCCCCTTGTCTATGACTGCAACTCTTCTGTTGACTGATCCATTCATTAGCTTTAAGAAGCCCATGTGGTCAGATGTTCGGCTGCGTGCGTATGTTCTCCATGTGTGCTGTCCCAGCTCTGTAGACAGCTGGCATGGCAGACCTCGAGTGAACCACCCAATAAATCCACAGACTTGGTTTTCAGCGAAGGAATCTGGTCAGGTTTATTGCCGACGAGGCATGGTGCTAATGCCCCGGCTCAATGGTTACAGGTACACAAACGCATGTATGCCCGTGAGAATGGACCGGTTCAGTGAATGGCGGGACTTTCCATTCTCCACTCGGCCAGACAAAGACATTGCCTCTGAGATACATCTTTATACACAGATACAAACAAGTTACGTATTACTCCTCTGACATGGCTAACCACCACCCATTACCTTGTCCCTGTTGGTTCGATCAAAACATCTCTAACCATCATGCTGTCATCCTGACCTTATCTTTAGGATTGGTCAGTGTGTTTGTTACTTTTGAAGAATGTGCTGGTATTGGGGTCTTCTGGCACCACCCTGGAATGTGTTTACATGTATGCTCTTGTGCCTAGTACCTCTTAAGAATGTGTTTCTGCAATATCAGCCCTGTTTTTGCCAGATTCTGTGAGCACGGCCTCCCTCTTGCTCACAACTTAACCTTGCTTTATGGCAGCAAGTTTTGACCACTATAGCTCAGGCCTCTGCTACAAGGTCTTATGTTTCAGGCTCTCTTCCTACTACAGCCCAAAGTATTTTTTTTTGTTTTGTTCCTGGTGGAGCTCTGTCAGGCAAGAGCTCTGCTGGGACTCCAGGGATTCCATACTACAGAATCTTCACTGTATCATAAAGTTGAGTTAGAGTGCAGATCCAGTCCAATGGCACTATATCCTGGCTTCCTGGAAACTCACATTATCTTATGCAGCAAGTCATGCTCTGTAATATTAAATTTTAATCAAAATCTTACCTGTTGCAAGGCAAATCTAGGATATGGCCAGAGGAGGGAAGAGTCCTGAAGCAGGGAGATTCCTTTCCTCTCAGGGGAGAAGTGACTAGTTTATTACAGTTAACATATAGATTTAAAAGCAGAGGATCATGGACTGCTCTGTGTGCATTTAACTGCCTACAACACACACATGCAGCAGAAAAAGCCATGAGCATGTGTA